CGTCCTTGCTACTAGTAGTACGGCCAGGAGCTCCTAGTAGCGTCCTTGCTCCTAGTAGTACGGCCAGGAGCTCCTAGTAGCGTCCTTCCTCCTAGTAGTACGGCCAGGAGCTCCTAGTAGCGTCCTTTTTCCTAAACTTTAAAACCACATTGAAAATCAACAATTCATAAGGGAACGAGAACCTCGATATGCCCTAGATGGCTCCAAGCACCAAAGCGAGATATACATGCACTGCATCATGCTGCTGTTCTATGGTTTCACCATCCCCCTCCCAGCACCTTCACAGCCCTGCGCCTGCATGTGGGTCTTCACGGTGTCCAAGGGATACATGCCGATGTGTTCCATCACACCGGCCTCACAAAATCTGCCACAAACTCCAACAGACTCCGGTCGGAATTTGCACCCTGAGGCTGACTTCAGGGTGGACTCCGCCCCTACCAAATGTATTTTGTCCTTTTTTCATGGCTCCAAAAAGTAAATCAAATCATGCAAAACAAATCATACAACACGGACATTCACTGACCTGCTAAATGATGGAGCAAAGAGAGAAAAAGAGCCGACAGGGAAGCACCAGGGCCCTGACACAACTGCCTGCCACTGCGTGCTTCCAAAGAGGTGATGAGGCCTCAGTGACAGCTTCGATTCACGAACAAACATGCGAAATGTTGGTGAACGAACACTCGTTCTTTGCTTTCTCCCCGCGATGGATTCCAACCGACTGATCCACCCGCAACATCCGCAACCGCAGTGCAGCGATCAAATCTCAAAGGCACATCCCATTCCTCCCACTGCTCGAAGCGCTCGCAAATGTCTGGCATCGGGCCCCGAGAGAGAGTCTCTTCTTCACATCGATCTACGAAGTTCGAAGTTTGTTCTTTTCAGATTGTCAGAATTCCCACATCCGACTGTCCAAGTTGCATTTGGCCCAAGTCATTTGAGTCTCATCCTTTTCTTTTTCCTTTTTTTTTCTGATAGCAATGGCCTCCAACCTAAGAGCGTAAGTTCTTTTCGATTTAGCCAGGAGATGCCATGAGTATCGTCATTCAGCTCAGCCACGGAGTCATTCTTGAGTGATCGCCCACCTGCCTGGGGGCTCGTCCGGCTCTGCCTTGGGCATTCCGGATTCGGGCTTACCCAAAAAGCGGCTTTTTGGGATGTATAATATATATATATATAGACATATTATAACGTATAGTTATAGAAATAGATAGACATAGTGCAAATGAGTTCCTTTTGCCCTCGGTGCCCCTGGCCGATCGCCATCGAAAACGAGGAACCGCGAGTCGAGTCGCCGCATAAACTCCGGGTCCCCAACCGTGACGGGCGAAGGATGCGAAACAGCGGCGGCCTTCACACTCAAGTCTCGGATTTGACCGAAGGGCTAACAGAACTTCGCACATAGAACATGCACACAGAACTTCGCTTACCTGTGCCTAACTGTCAACTTGCTTCCCACTCCGCCCATATCAAACGATTGAAAGTGATCAGTTCGCAATGCAAAAAGTACGTTGGAAAGTTCAGGAACTGGAAAGCGTTCCCTTCTGGCCGAGCAATTGGAGAGATTTTGGGAGCGCTAAGGCAGGACATAAGAGAAAGAAACGATAAGAAACGTGCCTCTCTCGTAACGAATATGCCTAAAAGAGTCTATAGCACTCGACCCAAACGCCCATTGGTTTTTCCATGTCATTTCCCTGCTATCCAATTTCCCTTCTTTTATCTGATTGGAGCAGTTCCTTTTCTGCTTAATTTGTCTGCCAAGGCACGGGTGGACAGCTGCAAGCAGGTCCTGGTGCTTTCCCGAAAAACGAGAAATTGTCACATCTGCTTTTTGGGAACAGCTGAGCTGTGACAGCTTTCCGTGAGCCTGGATGCGCTCCACCACAAGCACAGGCTCCAAGCATCCTGTCGCACATTGTCAGTTCCGAACAAAATCTTTGAGTCAAAGTCTGCTAGAATACTTGCTTGATTTTTCACACATGATACAAATGCTAGTTTGGGCATGAGGATCGGCATCACTTGCCCCCAAGCTTGATCTTTCGGATAATGTGGCCAAGTGCATCTTAATTGCTCTTTCCCTACTCACTTTTTGGTCATCATGACCCGCCGGTGACCCACCTGCTCCATTCGGAAGGAAACATGTTCCCGACTTTTCACTGTCGCTGCACGGTTCAGCCGCAACGAGCGGATGCCATGGCGGCAATTGCCGCTGCATCAACATAGCGCTCTTTCGGCACATCGGATCATGTTTCGATCTCGCGTGAACACGGCGAACAGGATGAAGGCAACATTCATGTTTCAACATACTTGAACTTCAGCTCCGCTCAGCGCTCAGCGTGGCCAGCTGCACGCCTGAGGTGATCGGTCCCGACACAGGGTCTCCCAAAATCTCCCAATTCCATTCACGTGTTTGGCTGAAGACACTTGGATTCCATTATTGTTCAGTGTGAAAC